CACACAACAGCTAGTCACTGTTTTTGTATACAAACAAGTCCGCACCAACTTTAGCCCATGGTCTTTCTGGTATGTCATGGTTTTTCAGTGGCTCTTTTGTGTTGCTCTTTTTGTTTTCATTGCAGATTGTACACTGTGATACAAAATCTTCGATATGTTTGTTCATTCCAATCCAGAAGAGTACATCTCTTGCTCGTTGCTTGCATTTCGTTATTCCCAGGTGTGCTTCATGAATTTTTGGTAACATTTCTGCTTGCAGTGCCCTTGGGACAACTAGTTTGTTTCCCTTGAAGACTAGATCCCCAACTACACTCAGTTCATCACGAATATTCCAGAAGTGTTGTACACAAGCTGGAACATCTTTGCTGTCCGGTGACCAACCAATGAGAATGACAGATTTCAAATTGCTGTAGTTGCGGGTCATCTGCTGTGGCCAACTTGAATGTCTCCACTCTAGATGAAGTCAAGGGTAGTTGTAATATAAAGTTCACATCAAACTCTGTCTCATCGAACCAGTTGTCATCAGCTGGGAGATATGCTCTGCTTAGAGCATCAGCAACGATAAGTTCTTTACCTGGACGGTAAGTAACCTGTAGATCATATTTCTGCAGATGGAGCAACATTCTCTGCAATCTTTGTGGTTTTCGAAAGATTGCTTCAAGGGGCTTGTGGTCTGTTTCTGCGAGGACAGGTTTTCCATATATAATATTGATGGAATTTCTCATACCCATGCAGGATTCCCAGCATCTCCTTCTCGATCTGTGCATATCTCTTCTGTGCACTTGTTAGTGATCGTGATGCAAACCCAACTGGCTTTTCAGCTTGTATGAGCATTGCTCCTAGTTCTTCAGAACTGGCATCAACTGACAATGTTACTGGTTGAGTGACATCGAAGTACTGAAGTACCGGAGTGTCTGTCACTTGTTTCTTGAAATTCTTGAAGCATTTTCTCTGGGGTTCTTCCCAGTGCCATGCAATGTCTTTTGACATCAACTCCCTCAGTGGCGCAGTTTCACTGGAGAGATTTGCTATGAATTTTCCTAGGTACTGAATCATGCCCAGGAATCTCATCAAGTCATGTTTGTTTTCCGGCTCTGGCATTTCTCTAATAGCCTTCACCTTTTCAGGGTCCGGTTTTAGTCCATCCTTTGTCAGAAGATGTCCAACATATGACACTTCTGTCATTCTTAACTTGCACTTTGATCTGTTTAGTTTCAGACCACTTGACTGTATCCTTTTCAGGACTGCATACAGTCTCTCATCATGTTGCGGTACATCTATTCCCCACACTAGCACATCATTAACAATGCATTCTGCACCAGTAAGGCCCTCTGGTAGCTGAGACATTGTTCGCTGGAACACCTCTGGAGCTAATTTAACTCCGAAAGGTAGTCTTGTGAAGTGGTACCTACCATATGGTGTGTTGAAGGTGCACAGTTTGGAGCTTTCTTGATCCAGTTTGATCTGCCAGAACCCGGACTCAGCATCCAGAACAGTGAATACTTTAGCACCAGGTAAGTGTGACATGATTTCTTCCACAGTTCTCATGGGATAGTGTTCTCTTTTCACAGCCCTGTTTAGATCTTTAGGATCTATACATATGCGCGTCTTGTGTGGTTCGACTACAGTACCATGCTGTTCACCCAGCTGGTTGGTTCTGTCTGTTTGACAACGACACCAAGCTTCACCATTCAGTTGAGCTCAGTTTTTACTTTTCCCATTATTGCTGCTGGCACTTTTCTTGGTGAAGTACAACAGGTGTAACATCATCCAAGAGTTCAATGTGATGTTCTCCAGGCATACAACCTAGCCCGTTGAATAGTTCTGGAAATTCTCCCAGAATATCTTTATTCACCTCTGGACTTCGTAACACAGGTCTTTCAACTGCATGTATGCGTTGCACCAAGTACATGTTTTCTTTCCCAGAATGCTAGGTCTGTCGTCTTTGACAACTTGGAACAGTATCTTGTAACCAATTTCCTTGTGTGTGCACTCTAGCTTTGATTGTCCAAGTGGGGCCGTCTTATATCCAAAATATGAAACTAGTCTTGTTTGAGATTCTGACAACTGTTCATCTACTAGTTTCAAACTGTCATACACTCGTTTGGGGATGACATTACACTGTGCCCCTGTATCAAGCTTGAACTCTACCTGTTTCTTGTTAATTGTCAGAGTTTCTTTCCAATCCTCATTATCACAATCTGACTCCAGCATTCCTATGAATAGTTGGTCAAAATCCTCAATTTCAGACTCTGAATTCTCCACAACATGTACATGTCTGTTTTTGTTGTCAGGGCGGTCACGTCTATCTGGCATAGGTTGTCTTGCTTTGCACATACTTGCAAAGTGGTGTCTGCCACCGCACTTGTCACAAATTCTTCCTGCAGCTGGGCATTTATCCTTCATGTGATTATATCCACATGCCCTACATCTTGGATACTGTGCATTTCGCCTGTCTTCATAATGTCCTCTTTGCTTTTTGTTCTTCCTTGTCTCGTGTGTGCCTCCTCGTGCACGGCCTCGTGCATAAATGGCATGAACGTTTTGACTCTGTTTGTTCTTCACTCAGAACTTTTAATTGTTGTGCACTTGCCTCAGTAGCCCTGCACAGGTCAACTGTACGAGTCAAAGTTAGGTCAGGTTCTCTCAATAAGAGCATCCTCATACTGTCACTTTGTACACCACAGACAATTCTGTCTTTAATTAACTCAGAGACCATATATCAGTATATGGTCTCTGATTAACCCTTCGGTTAAGTCAGCAAACACAGTTTTTAGCTTTGTTTTTCAAATCTGTCACATACTGGTCTATAGTTTCCCCTATTTTCTGTGATCTCGTGAAGAATGCATGTCTTCCTATAGTCAAGTTTTTCTTCGGTTGACAATATAGTTGAAACTTCTGTTTAACTCTGTCAAACTTTTTATCGTCACCTTCATTCACCCATTCGAACAGATTGAATACCTGTACGGCTGATTCTCCCGCCACTTGAAGCAAGGCCGCACACTTCACGGCCTCTGACTTTGCAGCGATTCCGCTGGCAGTTAGGTAAAACTCAAACCTTTGAAGCCATCGTTTCCAGTTCTCGGCTAGATTGCCTTCAAAACTCAGTTCATTTTGTGCTCGTAACTGCTCCATTCGGCCCAGTTTTCCGTGTTCACTTCTGACACCATGTAATATATTGAACAACAAGCATGGCGGGTTCATAGAATAGTTTACTATGTCATCTGGTGTGGTACATGCATGTTACGTCATCAATTACGTACATGTGTATGACCTCACAGTTAACCCTTTATCTTACAGAGGGGAGCGCAGGGGGTTCTCCTGTCAGTGATCCATGTGCAGAGAGAGGGGAGAGCAGGGGGTTCTCCTGTCAGTGATCCATATGCAGAGAGAGGGGAGAGGAGGGGTTCTCCTGTCAGTGATCCATGTGCAGAGAGGGGGGAGAGGAGGGGGTTCTCCTGTCAGTGATCCATATGCAGAGAGGGGGGAGAGGAGGGTGTTCTCCTGTCAGTGATCCATATGCAGAGAGGGGGGAGAGCAGGGGGTTCTCCTGTCAGTGATCCATATGCAGAGAGAGGGGAGAGCAGGGGGTTCTCCTGTCAGTGATCCATATGCAGAGAGGGGGGGGGAGAGCAGGGGGTTCTCCTGTCAGTGATCCATATGCAGAGAGAGGGGAGAGCAGGGGGTTCTCCTGTCAGTGATCCATATGCAGAGAGAGGGGAGAGCAGGGGGTTCTCCTGTCAGTGATCCATATGCAGAGAGGGGGGAGAGCAGGGGGTTCTCCTGTCAGTGATCCATATGCAGAGAGGGGGGAGAGCAGGGGGTTCTCCTGTCAGTGATCCATATGCAGAGAGGGGGGGACAGCAGGGGGTTCTCCTGTCAGTGATCCATATGCAGAGAGGGGGGAGAGCAGGGGGTTCTCCTGTCAGTGATCCATATGCAGAGAGAGGGGGAGAGCAGGGAGTTCTCCTGTCAGTGATCCATATGCAGAGAGGGGGGGGGGGGGGGGTTCTCCTGTCAGTGATCCATATGCAGAGAGAGGGGAGAGCAGGGGGTTCTCCTGTCAGTGATCCATGTGCAGAGAGAGGGGAGAGCAGGGGGTTCTCCTGTCAGTGATCCATATGCAGAGAGAGGGGAGAGGAGGGGTTCTCCTGTCAGTGATCCATGTGCAGAGAGGGGGGAGAGGAGGGGGTTCTCCTGTCAGTGATCCATATGCAGAGAGGGGGGGACAGCAGGGGGTTCTCCTGTCAGTGATCCATATGCAGAGAGGGGGGAGAGCAGGGGGTTCTCCTGTCAGTGATCCATATGCAGAGAGGGGGTAGAGCAGGGGGTTCTCCTGTCAGTGATCCATATGCAGAGAGGGGGGAGAGCAGGGGGTTCTCCTGTCAGTGATCCATATGCAGAGAGAGGGGAGAGCAGGGGGTTCTCCTGTCAGTGATCCATATGCAGAGAGGGGGTAGAGCAGGGGGTTCTCCTGTCAGTGATCCATATGCAGAGAGGGGGGAGAGCAGGGGGTTCTCCTGTCAGTGATCCATATGAAGAGAGGGGGGAGAGCAGGGGGTTCTCCTGTCAGTGATCCATATGCAGAGAGGGGGGGAGAGCAGGGGGTTCTCCTGTCAGTGATCCATATGCAGAGAGGGGGGAGAGCAGGGGGTTCTCCTGTCAGTGATCCATATGCAGAGAGGGGGGAGAGCAGGGGGTTCTCCTGTCAGTGATCCATATGCAGAGAGGGGGGAGAGCAGGGGGTTCTCCTGTCAGTAGTGCATAGTGTAAGGATGAGGAGGGACCTGCATTCTGCTTGTGTGTGAATGCATGTGTGTGCGTGTGTGAAACGCGTCTTGAAATGGATAATCTGCAACAGTTATAAAAAACATATCCTTTCATGATGTTCAGTGACCCTTTAGACTCATTTAGAGAGGGCCTAGATCATTAAACTGAACAGGTTATCACTGAATAAACACACACTACATGTAAGAAACATAAAACAAAAAAAACCATTATTAGATTTACACAATTATTTTATTGAATACAGATGTGCATATCAAGCAAGCTGAATACTACACCATTACTTGCACAGAACACTTTCCATAGACTGAGATTAACTCTGTGTCACAGTCCAGCACATATTGTATCGCAACATAGCCCTGTGTATTACTGATTCACCAACTTGAATGACACCTATTCTGACAGGTGACCCTTCTTCCCAGTCCTTCCCAGTCCAAGCACTGCATCACAACACACTCTCATAGGAGGCTTACAACAGCTGATGAGTGAAGCTCAAGTATATTTCTTGCATAGAACTTAGGGACTGGTAATTTATTATAGGGTGTGTGTGACTGGTCTAAGACTATCATATTTTTTCGACCCCTCCCCCCATTTCATTTTATGTAACATGTTTTCATGCCCCCCAAAATGGATGTAATATTTCCTCATGACCCTCCACTCCCCCCTCCAATACATTTTGGCAATCCCTCTCTTTCGCTGTCATGACACCTAGCTCCCTATAATAAATTACCAGTCCCTTAATTACTTACATACACCATATCAATATACACAAATCTTCAGGTTGTGAGTTGACCTCTCCAAATCCCTTACAACAACCTGACTGTTGCGAGTTTGCAGCATCAACTTTATTCCTTTATTCACCATGGCAACTAAAAATAGTATTTATATAAATAAATGTGGTGTCCCTGGTTTCACAGACAACAGCAAGGAGTATGTCACTGTGCTTGGCACACCCTACCTGCCTCCCCCAGACCCTACAACCACCACCCTGTGTGTGATCACAATACACCTGGCTTCAGTAATTCACAGAGCTTGTGAAGAAACAGAGAGGAGTACCAACTGTAACACCTTTTCAATTTCTTCTCATCACTGGGAAACTTGTTTAAATGCTAAAAGCTTTAAGAGCATTACAAGTAGTAGAACGGTCAAGTAAGTCTTTGAGAAGTTAGAATGCTATTTATTTAAAGCAACAAGTAATACTTTGATAAATAATTATCTTGACATATAATAATTTAAATAAATCATTGATTAAATTGACTGAAGAAATACTTCCATTCAATCTCTATTTGATTGTATTTCATGTTTCAGATTGTTCATAAGATATATTCAGTAGAACTTTGCAACAAATAGGAGAAAAACTGGATATAGTAGAACTTTTATAACTGGCAAACAGATTTAGCATAAATTGTAACAAAATATAACAACCAGAAAAATCGTACCAACTTCACAGTTCATTGCATAATGCTGTACTACAAAAATAAAACACCAAATTAGTTAGGTGTTATTTGCTTTGGGAAGAACAGTAAAACACCAATTACAGATGCCTCGTGTTTCTCTCCTAAAGGAGTGTATGTGGGGTGAAGATCAATGGTGGAAGATGTCCAATGACTCAGGATGGAAATGCTTCAGAACGAAGGATGCAGAATGAAGTTTATAATTGAATTTATAAGTAAAAGAGAAAAGATTACTTCAATATGACATTTTGCCATACATTTATGTTGGAGAGAAATGAACATTTCATGTTGTGCTAATTTCATTTCTCTGTTGAAATAATCTACCATTGACTTCCGTAGCTCAGCAAAGGGGCAGCAAGCAGTGTCTTGCTACAGAGTGGTTGATAGGAGTGAGCGAGTTGGGTTTAATGCCATTTTGAACAGTATTCCAGTTACATCACAACACATCAGCTTGATGTGGGAGGAAAGCCTGAAGTGATGCAGGTCTCAGACATTTACCACTTTGGTGAAACCCACGAGCACAGGTATGGTGCTGAAAAACCCTGGAAACATAATCAGGGTGAACTGAGACTCGAACCCATGATCATAGGTTCTTTTGCACACCCAAGGGACACAACTCAGCAAAGCAAATTGTGGCGCCGTAGACCATGCGCTGTGATTGCTGGGAACAAAGTTGAACATGGAGATGAATGTATTGGAGACATGAGTCACCTGGTATTACTAGTGTAGTTAGTGACTGTTGTAGGGAGCTGGGGTGCAGGACTAATGCACTGGTCTAGAGTGTACTCCAGGGTGGACAACGACTTCCCACTCCAGCGTGACACAGTGGTCTACAATGTACAGAGTGGACAACACGTTCCCACTTCAGCGCGACACACTGGTCTACAGTGTACTCCAGGGTGGACAACACCTTCTCACTCCAGTGGGACACAGTGGTCTACAGTGTACTCTAGGGTGGACAACATGTTCCCACTCCTGCAGGACACAGTGGTCTACAGTGTACTCCAGGGTGGACAACACCTTCTCACTCCAGTGGGACACAGTGGTCTACAGTATACTCTAGGGTGGACAACACGTTCCCACTCCTGCAGGACACAGTGGTCTACAGTGTACTCCAGGGTGGACAACACGTTCCCACTCCAGTGGGACACAGTGGTCTACAGTGTACTCCAGGGTGGACAACACGTTCCCACCCCAGAGTGGACACAGTGGTCTACAGTGTACTCCAGAGTGGACAACACGTTCCAACTTCAGAGTGGACACAGTGGTCTACAGTGTACTCCAGAGTGGACACAGTCGTCTACAGTGTACAGAGCGGACAACACGTTCCCACCCCAGAGTGGACACAGTGGTCTACAGTGTACAGAGTGGACAACACGTTCCCACCCCAGAGTGGACACAGTGGTCTACAATGTACTCCAGAGTGGACACAGAGGTTTACTGTGATCATGGAGCACATCGTTCCTAACCTTCAGATAATCTTCTGTCACGATAACAACAAACACCTTACATAAAATCGGTTTATGTGAAGTTATCTTTCTAATTTTTCTGGATTTAACACTGAGCTCAAAAGTAATTTCTTCATATTTAGATATTGTGGTAAAGTATAACTGTTATAAAGGGAGGGGCTCTAAATATTTTGATTACAGTTTGCACTTTCTTTACTTATCTGCTGTACAAGAGCCCAAGGGTTAATATGTCCAGTACACACTGGTAGATAGGCGGAGCTGGTAGAAATCTCATGATGATAATCAACAACATAATACATGCAACAAAACATTTTTAAACTGACAAGTAATCAGAAAATGATATACAGTGGATATTTGATTTTTCTTGTGAAATAACATGTTTATCTCATCAAGTGACATGACAATATGTTAATATTGAATACATCAACATTTTCAAAAATATAATAAAAAGAGGCCCAGAGAATCTCTTCATTTTCATTGATACTGCAGTAATCTAGACTTGCCAAACCATTATAGACTTGCATGGGCTGTATTTGATATTTGTATCAGGGTCTGTAAGACAGACTAGGACATTAACCCTGCACAATGAATTACATGCTTCTGATGACTGCCCCCCAACCACCACACACACACCCTCCCCACCAACCCCAGTCCCCTCCTTCCAAGATGAGATAAAATTGTTGTTTGAGACAGTAAAAGCCAAATAATCTATTCATGCTTATCATGCACTTTCTTACTGGTCTTGCAACACATCAATGACAGAAGGGAGTTCCAGCTAGGCAGTGGAAAGGGTATTCAATCATCAGGTCGAACATGTTACTTCACACATTAAGAAATACATCACTCACTAAACCGTTTGTCCACACACAGTGACATATGAATTGTTAGCTTTCTGGTTAAGAAATATTCAGAATGCTACAAGTTGCTGCCTTCATTTCATAACTGATTGCAAAGCATGTAAACAAGGTATTGAGGCCTATTAAATATCCATAAATACACATTGAAGCCATTATCAGCAGACAAGGCCATCTGATACTAGCGTTATATATGCTATATACAGTAGTGTATCTTTCAACACAACAAACAGACATAAGAACTTCAGGTTGGCTGGGATTCATAGTGCTTCCTGTTTTCCTTACAAACAGTTTGCGTAGTAATAATAGCTGTAAACAATTAGATGGGGACTGTTCCAGCAGAGGTCCAGACATCCCTATAGCTTCTAAAGCACCTCAAAATGAATAAACTTTATTTAGCTAAAATTCTAAACATTCTTTTCGAGCAACCTGACCCTTGTAAAACTTTCACCTACTTTTCTCTTTTTCAAATCAAAATTGACCTGTAATATCTCATTATATTCATCATTAAACCCTTGGTATTACATGACCATCTATGGAGCACATATGCTGAGTGCTGTAGTTGTGTTACTAGCTGGCAGGAAATCTTCAACAAGGTGAATAGCTATTACTGTAATGTATCCCTGCTAGATGGAACCCAACCTCAAAAAAATGGCCAATGCATGTTTGCTTCACAGATATATAATGCTATTGAAAGAACATTTATAGTTGTGTAGGCTGGAAAACAGAACTCTTCAGAATCAAAATATGTCATTCCTGATAGTTCTCACTACAATATCCTGTGATAAATAATTCATAAAATATACAACTTGCAGTGCACACTGTGTAGTTTCTATGTCGATGATGTCGAGCTGATAGGATCAGAAAATAAAGCAACTGGTTTAATTTGCTTTTTATCTGGTTTTCAAACATTTCATCAAATGTTTATACAGGCACTTTTCAGCAGCAAACATTTATGGATGGCTGTAAATATAATAATCTTAACCAAAACAAATTGAAAATGTCTCAACAATAATCAACAACATAATCACAACTGTCCATTCCTGATTAAATATAATGTAAACAAAATTCAGACAAGCGTTGACAGCTTGTCATTTGCCTCTGTTAAAGAATTTGGTCGAACCTGATGGTTTGCCATGTGGGGAGGGCAGCCATCAGTGTTGTTATACTTATATATCTCATGACTTGCCCTAACCGGGCCATTCTTGGCTTGTGATGGAGAGCCACACCGGTTGGATGAGGCAGCACGCAGGCGGTGTCGCACTTCTTCCATAGAAGGGTCTGTTGCTTGCAATGACAAGTTTGTTTGGGAAGGCATGGCATGAAAACTGTGACGATGCGAGGCTTGCTTTCCCTGCGAAAAACCAGTGCGACCTTGACCTTGGAAGAGTTTATAAATGTCAGACGATGGTGCAAAAAGTGCCCTTCCATTTTGCAATGCCATCTCTGATGTTGCCCGAAACTGATTGGACAGTTTTGGTGTTTCCTCATTCTTGACGGTGTTGTTGTTTGTCAAATTACGACTGTCCACCTCAAACTTTGAATGTATCAAATGTACATCAGTACAATCCCATGAATAACGGAAATCTCGTTTGCGAGTATTTTGCTGGGGAGAGCAGGTTTTCGGTCTCCGCATGACCACTTGACCCTGGTATGGGGCTGACCGTGCGTCATTTGCCAGATTTGGCATAGAGTACATGTGGTTAGGATGCTTGGTTAAGTTGGCTGGGGGAACATCCCCTGATGGAACATTATTAACACTGTCACCATGCAAATGAGGTCGTGACCTTGACATATCGCCATTACAATTTTTAGAATCTTGCTCTCTGATATCTACCTCAGCACGTCTGAATGCATCTGTTCCATTGAAGGGAATGTTTTCCATCTGGGACACAGAGTGCCGGTGAGTATCACTACCATCGCTTCTTCGTCTGTTGGAGTTGGTAGGTCCTTGACCAATTTTCACAGGCACAGCTCGGAATATGCCATCTTGTGCACTCCGGGTACTTTCCTCCATGAATATCTTGCAACCGGCATCATTTGGATGCTTTTGCTTGTTGTAGCCTGGCTGTTCAGTCCTTTCAGTTTCACCATTGAACCTTAGTGCAGGATTCCTCGAGTCATTGGCATATCTGTTGCCAGCAAAACTACTGGCTTCATTAACAAATGCATTTTGGTCATTAACATATGACCTTTGACTTTCATGGAATTGACGTTGTTCATTTACATAGTCACCTGACCTCTGGTCAGGTGCCCTTCTTGGATCATTGTTTTGAGGCACATTCTGATTGGTTGTTTCTGGACCTCCTGCCGACTCCTCTTCCTGAATGGTTGTCAATGCACGCAACTTTTCCATAAGTGAATTGTCCTGCTTTTCCACTGGTTGGGATTTTTTCTTAGCAATAATGTTCTGACGGGAGCCAACAACTATTCGTCCATTACTGGGAATTTGTTGTGATCGTGAATTCACATTTAGATTTTTTTGCATGCTACCCTGACTAGATGAGCTTTCTGATGTCAACAAGGATGACAAGCTTGATGACAAGGGGGATGACAGTGAGGCAGTGGTGTTTGTTCTACTGTCAGTGCCGTAACCTTCATCATTTAGGAAATCTTCATCTGGATTCTTGTGATCATTGTTATTGCTGTAATCACAGTGTTGCACAACAAAACCATCTGCCGAGTAGTTGTGAGAAGCCTGCTTCATCGGTGGATTCTTCACACCTTTCTGAAGTTCATATTCCATGAAACTATTCTTTATACGTTCTTCATTTCTTTTCTCTTCTTCAGTTGTCATCATTATCATCGTATCCGATGATGACTCACTTTTTATACTCCTCTCACTGGCCGAGTCAATAAGCAAATCCAGCGGATCAAACTTTTCCCACAATTCCTCTGTTGTTTCTGGAGTGATGTGTTTTAATGGTGGTGAAAATAGAGTATTGGAATTGTCAAATCCAAAGAATCCTTTGGGAGATTCCTTATCCCATATTCGATCATGTTTCGTTACATTCAGCCTGGTCAAAGGCTGGGGTTCGGGTGATGTCTGCATAGTTACCTCCCCTTGATCTCAGCTCTTCACACAGAATATTTACACAGTAATTCAGCATGTCGGCAGACTTGGAATCCCACAATTACATGTTCCTTACAATTCAAAACACTCACTATGAACCGGTAATATACACAGAACACTTCCAAAGATTGTTGGTACTTAATGAACAAGTAATGAATGTGATCATTCACATCTCAAACAACAATCCAGAGTTCAGTATCAGTCATGTGATCATTGTATCCAATCAGAGGCTGCTGCACATCAGGTGGGAAGTTCCTGAAATGACAAACAAGCTGAATGAAATGTATGTCAGAAAACATTCAAAATAAACTTTGTTGATGAAATTTTCATCAGTTGTGGTTAGCTCGACAATTAGTGAACGAATGGGTTGCACTATGAGAGCAGAAATACCCTGGTTTTACCTTGACTTACAAAACTGGTTCTTACAGGAAATATGAGGGTTCTGTAAAATAATGATTGTTTGTTTGTGTGTTGTTCAACACCACACGCATTATTCCAGCTATATGACGGCGGTCTGTAAATAATTGAGTCTGGACCAAACAAGTCAGTGATTGACATCATGAGCATCTATCCACACAATCGGGATCAATGACATGCATCAACCAAGTCAGCGGAGCCTGACCACCCGATTATGTTAGTCGCCTTTTACGGCAAGCATGGGTTGCTGATGACCCATTCTACCCCGGATCTTCACGGTTGGTAAAATAATGGTGCAGTGTACTGTAGTGCAATATTTGAAAATTATTATAATTACAGGACCTTTAAAGGGCTTAACTTTAAGCAACAGGTTCATGCGATCCACTAATTAATGCCCACTTGCTATATATTGGTAGAGATCCCAGACATTCACTCATCAAAGCTACTCCGACTAATGAGTTCATGGAGTGAAAAGATATATGTCCCTGACAAGCCAGCATGGGGCTGTAATAAGATCGTCCAATCAGAAGCTAACAGACAACAATGGGGGCAGAAGGCAAAGTATCAGAACTCTGATATCGAGGAATGTTTGAAAGCATATCAAGATCCCCTGAAAGACAGATTTGTTCCAACACGTCAATGTCAGGCGACACTGTTGTGGTGAAGGAGCACAACATACAGAACCCTTGTTGATTCCACACCATAAGGGCCAATATCAGAGGTTTTTCTCTTATGTTTGGTGTCACATTTGACACATTTCGCCACTCCTCATACCCTCTTCATACTTAACCTGTCACACAGGTCTAATGGGTCTGCCCTGGTCTAATGGAATTTGTGTAAAGCTTGTAAACATAACACACCATGTGTTAAGACTGGTATAAGTGGACAGCGGAGAAGGAGACTTTTAAAGTATGGAGATAAACTTCACAATCATGTAGATCGCATTATGATCAACCTTATGATCATATCCGATCTGTCCTCAATGACGGCATCCTTGTGATCATATCCGATCTCTACTCAATGACAACAACCTTATGATCATATTCCATTTCTACTCAATGATGGCAACCTTGTGATCATATCCGATCTGTCCTCAATGACGGCAACCTTATGATCATATCCAATCTCTACTCAATGATGGCAACCTTATGATCATATTCCATCTCTACTCAATGATGGCAACCTTATGATCATATCCAATCTATACTCAATAACGGCAACCTTTTATCATATTCCATCTCTACTCAGTGATGGCAACCTTGTGATCATATCCGATCTGTCCTCAATGACGGCAACCTTATGATCATATCAGAACTCTATTAATGATGGCAACCTTATGATCATATTCCATCTCTACTCAATGATGGCAACCTTATGATCATATCCAATCTATACTCAATAACGGCAACCTTTTATCATATTCCATCTCTACTCAATGATGGCAACCTTGTGATCATATCCGATCTGTCCTCAATGATGGCAACCTTGTGATCATATCCGATCTCTACTCAATGACGGCAACCTTATGATCATATCAGAACTCTACTCAATAACGGCAACCTTGTGATCATATCCGATCTGTCCTCAATGACGGCAACCTTATGATCATATCAGAACTCTATTAATGATGGCAACCTTATGATCATATTCCATCTCTACTCAATGATGGCAACCTTGTGATCATATCCGATCTGTCCTCAATGACGGCAACCTTATGATCATATCTGATCTCTACTCAATGACGACAACCTTATGATCACATTCCATCTCTACTTAATGATGGCAACCTTGTGATCATATCCAATCTGTCCTCAATGACAGCAACCTTATGATCATATTCCATCTCTATTCAATGTTGGCAACCTTGTGATCATATCCGATCTGTCCTCAATGACGGCAACCTTGTGATCATATCTGATCTCTACTCAATGACGGCAACCATATGATCATATCAGAAATCTACTCAATGACGGCAACCTTATGATCATATTCCATCTCTACTCAATGACGGCATCCTTATGATCATATTCCATCTCTACTCAATGATGGCAACCTTGTGATCATATCTGATCTGTCCTCAATGACGGCAACTTTATGATCATATCAGAACTCTACTCAATGACGGCAACCTTATGATCATATTCCATCTCTACTCAATGATGGCAACCTTGTGATCATATCCGATCTGTCCTCAATGACGGCAACCTTATGATCATATCAGAACTCTATTAATGATGGCAACCTTATGATCATATTCCATCTCTACTCAATGATGGCAACCTTGTGATCATATCCGATCTGTCCTCAATGACGGCAACCTTATGATCATATCTGATCTCTACTCAATGACGGCAACCATATGATCATATCAGAAATCTACTCAATGACGGCAACCTTATGATCATATTCCATCTCTACTCCAATGATGGCAACCTTATGAACATAACCGATCTGTCCTCAATGACGGCAACCTTATGATCATATCAGAACTCTATTAATGATGGCAACCTTATGATCATATTCCATCTCTACTCAATGATGGCAACCTTGTGATCATATCCGATCTGTCCTCAATGACGGCAACCTTATGATCATATCTGATCTCTACTCAATGACGACAACCTTATGATCACATTCCATCTCTACTTAATGATGGCAACCTTGTGATCATATCCAATCTGTCCTCAATGACAGCAACCTTATGATCATATCCGATCTCTACTCAATGATGGCAACCTTATGATCATATTCCATCTCTATTCAATGTTGGCAACCTTGTGATCATATCCGATCTGTCCTCAATGACGGCAACCTTGTGATCATATCTGATCTCTACTCAATGATGGCAACCATATGATCATATCAGAAATCTACTCAATGACGGCAACCTTATGATCATATTCCATTTCTACTCAATGACGGCATCCTTATGATCATATTCCATCTCTACTCAATGATGGCAACCTTGTGATCATATCTGATCTGTCCTCAATGACGGCAACTTTATGATCATATCAGAACTCTACTCAATGACGGCAACCTTATGATCATATTCCATCTCTACTCAATGATGGCAACCTTGTGATCATATCCGATCTGTCCTCAATGACGGCAACCTTATGATCATATCTGAACTCTACTCAATGACGACAACCTTATGATCACATTCCATCTCTACTCAATGATGGCAACCTTGTGATCATATCCGATCTGTCCTCAATGACAGCAACCTTATGATCATATCCGATCTCTACTCAATGATGGCAACCTTATGATCATATTCCATCTCTATTCAATGATGGCAACCTTGTGATCATATCCGATCTGTCCTCAATGACGGCAACCTTGTGATCATATCTGATCTCTACTCAATGACGGCAACCTTATGATCATATCAGAAATCTACTCAATGACAGCAACCTTATGATCATATTCCATCTCTACTCCAATGATGGCAACCTTATGAACATAACCGATCTCTACTCAATGACGGCAACCTTATGATCATATTCCATCTCTACTCAATGACGGCAACCTTATGATCATATCCGATCTCTACTCAATGACGGCATCCTTATGATCATATTATATCTCTACTCAATGATGGAAACCTTGTGATCATATCCGATCTCTACTCAATGACGGCATCCTTATGATCATATTCCATCTCTACTCAATGACGGCAACCTTATGATCATATTCCATCTCTACTCAAATATGGCTACCTTGTGATCATATCCGATCCGTCCTCAATGATGGCAACCTTGTGATCATATCCAATCTCTACTTAATGATGGCAACCTTATGATCATATCCAATCTATACTTAATAAAGGCAACCTTATGATCATATTCAATCCCTCCTCAGTATGAAAGCAACCTTATATCATATTTAATCTCTACTCAATGAAGGTAAACTGATGTTCATACTCAATCTTTACTCAATGTACAGCTGTCCCGGGAAGATTCCGGGTTAGCCTAATGAGATCAGGTGGTCAGGCTGGGTTTGATGCATGTCATTGTATCCCAATTGCATAGATCGTAGCTCATGATGTCAATCACTGGATTGTATGGTACAGATTTGATTATTTACAGATAAACATCATATAGCTGGAATATTGCTAAGTACAGCATTAAAAAACACACAAAACAAACAATATACAGCTGCTTTAAGTCATAATCAGTCACAGTTTATAAGTATCCATATAGTCCATTTCAGGTAATTTGATGTATTCAACTTACAGATAGTTCCAAAATGAATTTGGAGGATATGAACATGCTTGCAGGTCATCTTTTAACTACCAAGACATCCATGCTGACTCAGCTTGTTCCAAGCCAAACACATGTACCTGGTAAATTGTATGAAACATAAACTATTCATTCATATTCTTCAGAGGACAAACAACAAAGATATTACCACCCAAACGTCACAAGAACACGTGAAAATACACCAATATCTCCTAGGCACTCTGTTAGAGACTATGACTATCGGGAGATACACTACCATCATTGTCCAATGCAAGGCCTTCCCCGACCTTCTTGAGACATGGGTGATAGGCAGGCTCTAAATAACTTAAACTTACAACCAACTTCTGAAATCTCTAGTGATCCACGATGAAGCTGTCAGATTGAATGATGATAAAGGTGTATTCTGATTGGCATGTTATACTTGCCAAGCTTTCACACAAACAGAAGCTTCAGCTCACCACCAGTGACACCGACATAAGCCCGCCGGGAACTCTGAAACAGTGCCAATCAGCAGCCCTCATTCTGGATGTGGCATCCCAGTAAATGCTTGTTTAAACCTCCGACTTGATTAAATACCTTCGATTAAATACC